GGAACACATTACAAAAAGGTTTCATTTGTTAATATTACTTAAGCTGAACTAACAATTAGCAATATGTCTACAACATTTACTTAAGTTTAATTTAAATCAACCATTGTATATGTTAGCATTAATGTACTGTGAAAATGAACAATTTTATTTATTTAATAACATCGACAAAGATTTTTAAAAAGCTGTAAAATGTACACTAATGCATTAACTAATGTTAACAAATGAGACCCTACTGTAAAGTGTTAACAATTTTACCGTCATTTATCAATAATATATTCAAAATTAGAGGTATTACTGTCCCATCTCAAAAGTCTTCTGAGCAAATTCACAAAAAAACAAATGCTGCTCCCAACATCACAATCCAGCAACTCGACTGGTTCTAAGCTGTGGTTGTGAGAGTTCTAGAACATCATGAGCAGTAGTGTAATTCTCTGATCTATGATGCAGAAACCTGAGCGAGGTGAGATGGGATCAGACCGTCAGGTGTGGATGTCCCACTGTTCTGTGACAGAGACAGAGTGCCTGTTCTGGACCCGTTCAGCCTCGCAGGATGCATGACGGCTCTCAGACAGTCTGGAGGGAGCATTTGAATTTTACACCTGGGAAGGAGCAGCCTATCATTAAAAAACTCTAATTTCTGTGTCAGGTAGTCTTGCAGGTAATCAATCACCTTGTCACTGTTTTTCCCCCTATTTGGTCTTTCTAATCTTTCTAATTAAATGTGTTGCTGAGTTGAAGAGAAAGGAAAACTTCTTGTTTTATGATGAATCTACATTTTGTTCTCTCTCCACCTCAGGTACTTTTTTTTTTACAAAGACTAAAGTGCTATTATTTTCTCTTTTTTTTCTTTTTTTCCCTTAATTAAAATGTTCAAATCTTTTATTTCTAAGAACTGTTCACTGAAAGTTTCTTTTGGGAACCAAAAATGGTTTTTCTATGGCATTGCTGCAAAAACAACCTTTATTTATTTTTAATAGAGTAGTTATTACGGGATGTTTTTCCACTAGACAATCAACAGTTTGCAACAAAATGCTTTTCCTTATATATAATGAGGTGAAAATGTCCAAGTACTTTTTGTAACATTTTAGTCTATATCTAAGCATTGTTTTTAGACAAATCAAAGTGAGTACAATATACAAGGTGCACAATCTAAACATAAAAGTCATTTAGTGCTTACAGTTTGTAAGTTTCACACCTATTTTTCATTTTAGAAATGTGAAATATCTTTACAGAAATTCAGCGGTGTCAAGGAAAGGGAGTAAAACTCTGATAAAAATTTAGCCTTTTCACTTGTTCAAACTACACTTATGTACTTTAAATGAATCTGGAGTGCATTGTTACCAATTATACTTCATTTTGAGATATGATTGACATATAACAATATCTAAATTGAGCAGAATAATGCAGGTTGCCAAATGTTCTCTCTTTTTAGTCTATTAACAGTTTACAAAGGAAACTAGTCTTTTTAATTTTTTTATTTTTTTAAATCAAAGTTCAATAGAAACTTTTCACAAAGAGAAACAGGGCTGTTACTGTAACTTTAGCCTTATTAATGGTTTTCTCAAAACTCTTCCTGCTTTTCCAAACTTTAGGAGAACAGCTTGATGGAGCTCAGATGAATTTGGCCTTTTTAATGTTCTTTGGTCTTTAGTTTAGAACTTTTCTTCCTTCTAGTTTCTTCTAATACAGCATCATTAAAGAAACAAGCTTAACAATCTATGATCCGGCACAGAATTGTCTCAAATCTAATAAAACCTTGACTCACCTCTCTCTCTTATGAATTATGAGATCTCATAATTCATCACCCATAAATATAAAACACTAAACCTCAAACTATTAGGTGTTGTTGCATATGTGTGTAATAAGAATAATAAAATAATAAGAACTTAAATCATTATTTCATGTTCATGTACTGATCTATTTGTTAAATACTGTGTGCAATTAAACTGCTGCGATTGAATCAACAAGCCTGTGAAATGAACTCTGCAACGCTTTTCTAAAACTATACTAAACCAGGTTTGTCATTGCCGTAACCTATACATAGACTGTTCCTGCATGCCATGTAAAGAGTTACTAATAATTGAAATGTTCACCATTTATTGTGAGGAAGTCAAAAAATTTTGGATAGTTGCTTTTGAAATTTTATAGACAAGGAAACGCAAACACTCATAACATATTTTGAACAAATTTTTCAGTTCCACAAAATTGTATCTACTCAAGGCTGTAATTTCTATCCCTTAAATCATTCATTTATGAATGGGCATTATTCATGCAACCAATCATGTGCAAGCATGGGTGGGATTTCTGTTTTAATTGGTTGGAGTTCAGAGTAATGATCTATTGATGAATCTATGAATACTGAAGGAGAAAGATCAAGGAAGCAGAAATGAGACAGGGAATCCCAGTCTGGAATGACTGACAGCTCTCAGCTAACATGTCTCTGACTTCACAGTACTTGCATTTCAAAAATTATTGTATTAGAAATAAGGGGATGCTCCTCTCCACATTTGTGCATGAGCATTGATTAATAAGAAAACTAAAGAGAAATACAACTGATCTGTGTGTGTGTGTGTGTGTGTGTGTGTGTGTGTGTGTGTGTGTGTGTGTGTGTGTGTGTATTTATTTTTAATAGAGTAGTTATTACGGGATGTTTTTCCACTAGACAATCAACAGTTTGCAACAAAATGCTTTTCCTTATATATAATGAGGTGAAAATGTCCAAGTACTTTTTGTAACATTTTAGTCTATATCTAAGCATTGTTTTTAGACAAATCAAAGTGAGTACAATATACAAGGTGCACAATCTAAACATAAAAGTCATTTAGTGCTTACAGTTTGTAAGTTTCACACCTATTTTTCATTTTAGAAATGTGAAATATCTTTACAGAAATTCAGCGGTGTCAAGGAAAGGGAGTAAAACTCTGATAAAAATTTAGCCTTTTCACTTGTTCAAACTACACTTATGTACTTTAAATGAATCTGGAGTGCATTGTTACCAATTATACTTCATTTTGAGATATGATTGACATATAACAATATCTAAATTGAGCAGAATAATGCAGGTTGCCAAATGTTCTCTCTTTTTAGTCTATTAACAGTTTACAAAGGAAACTAGTCTTTTTAATTTTTTTATTTTTTTAAATCAAAGTTCAATAGAAACTTTTCACAAAGAGAAACAGGGCTGTTACTGTAACTTTAGCCTTATTAATGGTTTTCTCAAAACTCTTCCTGCTTTTCCAAACTTTAGGAGAACAGCTTGATGGAGCTCAGATGAATTTGGCCTTTTTAATGTTCTTTGGTCTTTAGTTTAGAACTTTTCTTCCTTCTAGTTTCTTCTAATACAGCATCATTAAAGAAACAAGCTTAACAATCTATGATCCGGCACAGAATTGTCTCAAATCTAATAAAACCTTGACTCACCTCTCTCTCTTATGAATTATGAGATCTCATAATTCATCACCCATAAATATAAAACACTAAACCTCAAACTATTAGGTGTTGTTGCATATGTGTGTAATAAGAATAATAAAATAATAAGAACTTAAATCATTATTTCATGTTCATGTACTGATCTATTTGTTAAATACTGTGTGCAATTAAACTGCTGCGATTGAATCAACAAGCCTGTGAAATGAACTCTGCAACGCTTTTCTAAAACTATACTAAACCAGGTTTGTCATTGCCGTAACCTATACATAGACTGTTCCTGCATGCCATGTAAAGAGTTACTAATAATTGAAATGTTCACCATTTATTGTGAGGAAGTCAAAAAATTTTGGATAGTTGCTTTTGAAATTTTATAGACAAGGAAACGCAAACACTCATAACATATTTTGAACAAATTTTTCAGTTCCACAAAATTGTATCTACTCAAGGCTGTAATTTCTATCCCTTAAATCATTCATTTATGAATGGGCATTATTCATGCAACCAATCATGTGCAAGCATGGGTGGGATTTCTGTTTTAATTGGTTGGAGTTCAGAGTAATGATCTATTGATGAATCTATGAATACTGAAGGAGAAAGATCAAGGAAGCAGAAATGAGACAGGGAATCCCAGTCTGGAATGACTGACAGCTCTCAGCTAACATGTCTCTGACTTCACAGTACTTGCATTTCAAAAATTATTGTATTAGAAATAAGGGGATGCTCCTCTCCACATTTGTGCATGAGCATTGATTAATAAGAAAACTAAAGAGAAATACAACTGATCTGTGTGTGTGTGTGTGTGTGTGTGGGTGCGTGCGTGTGCGTGTGTAGTGAGGCATCCAATTGTGATGAAAAATTTGAACGTGAAGTACATTTATATATACATAATAAATATACATAGTACACACACATATATTATGTACACAAAAACTTTTATTTTAAATGCGATTAAACATTGCCCAGCACTTTTGGCTAATTTTGAGCTACAGACAAAAAAAGTGAAAAATGTAGATTTTGGTCGAATTTCAGGTTTTCACAAAAATTAGTTCATTAAGCCCTTGTATAGTGATCCCAGTGCTCCAAATAGTAATTAAACATCTAAAATTAATTAACAATACAATTTTTTATTTTTTTTGTAACGAACACACTGAAGTGATTTTTACATTTTACATGCTTTGTAGTGCTGTACTTTCTGCAGTTGTGGTACCATTGGTGATACTTTCTATTGTAGTGTCTTTTAAGGTGCTTTTGGTTGTTGTGGTGCTTTTGCAGCTGTGGTATCTGTTGTTGTACTTTCTGGAATTGTGATGCTGCTGGTGGTGCTTGTTGTGGTATCTGTTGCGGTACTTTCTACTTACTCCTGAACACTTGAATTTTATGCTGTGGATATATTCTTGATTCTTCTATAGATATTTTATCAGTGTAATGTAAGGATAACTTAATTAATTATTATATATAATGCTAAATCTTCACATATGATTACAGAAAGATGAATTAAATTATAAGATTAGTTATGTAAAATAACATAAATAAAAGTAAATCAGCACTCATGGATTGTTACCATTTCCATTAATTTAAAAATAATAAATTTTTATTCGGTACCGATGGTGGTGCTGTCTGTTGTTCCATCTGTTTTGGTGCTTTCTGATGTTGCCATCTCCGTTGTTGTATTTTCTGAAGTTGTGGTACCGGTGGTGGTACTCTCTGTTGTCGTGGTCTCTGTTGTTGTGCTTTCTGTTGTTCTAGTGTCTGCTGTTGTACTTTCTGGAGTTGTGGTACTGGTGGTTGTACTTTCTGTTATTGTAGTGCTTTCCGTTGTTGTTATGTCACTTGTTGTGCTTTCTGTTGGTGTAGGGTCTGCTGTTCTACTTTCTGAAGTTGTGGTACCGATGGTGGTGCTTCCTATTGTTGATTTATCAATAGTGGTGCTGTCTGTTTTTGTGTCTGTTGTTGTACTTTCTTGAGTTGTGGTAAAGGTGTTGGCACTTTCTGTTGTTGTAGTATCCATTGTGGTGCTTTCTGTTGTTGTACTTTCTTGAGATGTGGTAAAGCTGTTGGCACTTTCTTTTGTTGTAGTGTCTGTTGTTGTGGTTTCCACTGTTGTACTTTCTGGAGTTGTGGTACCAATGGTAGTGCTTTCTGTTGTTGATGTACTTTCTGTTGTTGTGGATTCAGTTGTGCTTTCTGTAGTTGTAGTATCTGTTGTGATTCTTTCAGTTGTTGTTGAAGTTTCTGCTGTTGTACTTTCTGAAGTTGTTAAACCGGTGGTGGTGCTTTCCAATGTTGTAGTATCCATTGTGGTGCTGTCTGTTGTTATTGTGGTCTCTGCTGTTGTACTTTCTAGAGTGGTGGTACCGGAGGTGGTACTCTCTGTTGTCGTAATGTCCGTTGTGGTGCTTCCTGTTGTTGTGGTCTCTGTGGTAGTACTTTCTGGAGTTGTGGTGCCAGTGGTTGCACTTTCTGTTGTGGTGGTCTCCATTGTGGTAGTACTTTCTGGAGTCGTGGTAATGTTGGTGGTACTTTCTGATGTTGTA